GGGGGGGGGGGGGGGGGGGGAGATTGAGGCCCCCATCGTGAAAGAGGGAGGGAGTTGGGCAGAGCAGGGCAGGACTAGGGATAGGGCTGTATGCATGGACTTGGGGCCCAGGCCATGTGTGGCTGCAGGGCTCATGTGGGGAGCAGGATTGGGTCATGGGTGGCTCCTCCAGGGGGTGGGAAGGGCTGGCTCCCCACCACTGTACACACTCCCAGGGGAAACATGGGGGGGCATGTACCCCCCAGATATGTGCTTAGTGCAGGGACAGGTACAGATTAGCCGCTGGGGGCTTGGGGCTCCCCGTCTCTACGGTCCAGTGGGCAGGACCCAGTGTGGCAGGGCAGAGTAAAGTGAGGAAGTTCAGTGCTGCTGCCATGAGTCCTGTGTTGCCATGGAGAGGCACCCCTTTGCCCACAGCAGTGGGGCTGGCAACATGGAGTTGTGCTCCTTGTTGCTGCTGGGTGGTCAGGGGGCACCTTGCAATGGTATTATAGAGATCCCAGCAGCGGCACAGAGCTTCCCCACCTGGCCCCGCTCTGCCCTGCCATGCCAGGGTCCTGCCTGCTGGGCCACAGAAGCCCTGGGATGGGCAGCAGGGTGGAGAGCTCAAGTCTGCAGCAAGCAGGCCACACTCACCACCCCGCTTCACAGACTCTGCTCTAGGCATGCTGTCCATGGGGGAGGGGGAGCCACGCTCCACAATCCACTCCACTCTGCTGTAGCAGCTGCTGCCTCCTCCAGGTGGCAGCCAGGGCTTGGGTGCTGCTGCAGGGGCCGGAGGGCTGTGGACCCGGGTCCCTGGCCCTGTAGCTCTGGCAGCTGGGGGCCCTCTGCTGCATGGCTGGGGGCCTGTGGGTGGGGAGTGAGGGGCACCAGCAGGGCCAGGGGGTTGTGGCTTGGAAGTGAGGGGCTGGGGCCTGTGTCCTGATGAGTGAAGAGGGCAGGGAGAGCTTTGATTTTCCTTGATAAAAAACACCAAATCAAATGTCAAAATTTATAGGTATTTACAATTAATTTTATTATAGTGATTGAGGCACTGGTAAGCTTCCAAATTGCTTTAAAATTGTAAATATATCAATAAAACATTGTGTTCAACTGGTAACTATATATATTAGACTAATCTAATGTACAGTAAAGTGTCACCATCTACAGGTGCACTGGACTTACTGCATATTAAATTAGTCTAACATGCTATTTGCTTATACCAACACATAGAAGTACAAGATAAATGGCGCATTAGGTAATGCACAGTAGTGCACAGGTAGATAATGACGAGAAACAAAATTGTTCCTGGTCAGAGCAAGCAGCAGGATGCCACTGCTGCCTGGCTAAGTCCTGATGTGGGGGTAGCTGTGGTGGCTGCAGGGGCAGTTGTATTCTTACCCCATGCACATTGGGACCCATCCTGATGTTCATGGGGCTAGGAGAGCTGTGCTGGCTGTAGGGGCCTCCCAGTTCTGTGCTCATCAGGACCCATCTGATGTACATGAGGCTGGAAGACAGCTGCCCCTGCAGCTGGCACAGCTCTCCCGGCCCTGTGTGCATAAGGACTGGCCCCCATTCACCCTGCCAGCCCCTGGGCTGGCACCTGAGGGAGCCTGGACCCCCTACCCTAGCACAGAAGGGCAGGGGCAGTCCCGGATAAGGCTATACCCCTTGGATGCAAATCTGTGCCTGACAAGTTATATGTGTAGATGCGTTCCTGGCCACATCTTACTGCACCTTGTTTTACTGCATAGTAACCTTACTGAGCATTAATTGCATATGTAGACACACCAATTGGGTATGATCCTAGCCCACATGGCACCATACTGCTGGCTCGAAGGACCCCAGAAGACCCAATCCAGTCTCCTGAACTGGGGGCAGGCACGTGCTCCTTCCCTCAAAGGGCTAATCCTCTGCTCCAGATCCAGGCAGCTGTCCCCTAGCCAGGAGAGTATGGTGGTGGTGATGGGGGCAGGGAGAAGAGTGGCTTTCCTCCCTAGTTTCCTTCTGTATTCTTGGGTGCGAAGAAGGAAAAGGGCTCCTACTGCTGAGCATGGTGAGAGCATAGAGCCCAGGGAGGCATGCTTCCACAGGGTCCACATGGACAAGGTCCATGCTGTCACCAGTTAATCACCAGCAGCAGAGCCAGTGGCAGTGAGAGTAATAGAGTCCAGATAGACATTCTTCCCTGGACTCCGTGTTCTTGCTGTGCTTAACCCCCAGAGCTCCAGTCCTAAAAGAGGGATAGAGTCCTGGCTTCTGGCCACACTCCTGCTCACTAGGGCTGTGCAAAACAGCACCGTTCTATTTTGACTTGCATGTCAACATTTCAACAGAACAGGATTTCATTTCAAATTTCATTTTGATTTGAAACCACTGTTTCCTTTTGTTTCATCGAAACAGTGATGCTGTTTCAATGCTTTTTTGAGTTTCACCCATAGGCTACAATGGGGAAGCTCAAAACAGCTTCTCTCATCTGGCAGGCTGATCGGGGGCCCGGGAGGGCTGTGGGGACTGTGCCAGTCCTCCCAGGGTTGGGGGTCCCTGATCTGCCTGCCAGATGAGGGAGGGAAGCCAGGTGCTGCTGCCTGGGACTGGCGCCAGCATGTCGCTGGTCCCAGGCAGCAGCGCATGCCTTCTCTCATCTGACAGGCAGAACTGGGGCTGCAACCCCAGGAGGGCTGTGGGTGCTGTGCGATTGGGCTCAGTTTCCTTCCCCAGCCTGACTCATCGCAGTGCTGGGGAGGGGAACTGAGTGATCCGGCTGAGTTCCCTTCCCCAGGCTAATCCTAGTGCTGTGGAGAAGAACTCAGCCGGGTTGCTTTGAAACTTGAAATGTTTTGAAACTTTCAAAACATTTTGACTGCCCTTGTTTTGCTTCGAGGCTGTTTTGAAGCCCTTTGTTTCATTTTGATTTCACTGTTTCGAGTCTGAAATGAGTCTAAATAGCATCAAAATGAAACAGTAGGCAAAATTTCACACAGCCCTACTGCTCACTAGGACCTCTAGTGGAAAGTCACAGTCGTGCAGGTCACAGATGACATTAAACCATAACCTGTGACTGCTCTGAAACTATTTTAACACAGCCCATGGGTGACTGGTGCCTCCTAAGTCTATGAGGGCACCAGATCCCCGATGGAGGGGGGATCCCCCAGAGGCCAATTGCCAACCAGAGGGAGGTCCCCCAGGGGCCGATTGCTCACTGGGGGGGGGAGTTCCCCAGTGGCTAATTGCCAAGTCAGCAGTGAAACCAGCAAAACTGGAAGTGCACTTCTGGTTTCGCAGCTAGAGCTTCCAGGGGGTGCACGGCTGATATCCAGGGTGCACATGTACCTGCGTGCACCCCCTATACATCGACAGTGACACAGCCTAACACACCACAGATTTAGAGTGGTTTTAAGGTAACATGTTACAGCACCTTAGCAATATAATGGTATATGGTTTAACTATGTTTCTTACAATGGATCCACATTAAGAATTCCTTTTAGGAACTTAGTAGCTGGGTTATCCCAGCCACAGAGGGCAAAATAGGTGGTTCAAATAGGAAAGCTCCCTATCTATTAAAATGAGAACTGTATTTAACCATATAAAGTGCTTCTCTCTCACAATGTGACAGTTCTGTTCAAATATAATGTTTTGGGCACCATCTATAAATATACACAGTCACTACATTATCCTCCTTCTCATCTCATCTCAAACGTTTCTTTGTCATCATGCCTACAAAATGTTCAATACTGGGTAGACAGCTGGTACATACAGGTGCTGCTTTGATCACAATGATTCTTTGTTACCTTGTATTTCCTGCCCCACCTGACTTTTGTACTCTCATGGATTCTCTCACCTTCTGCTTAAATTGTAAACCGTTTTGCATAGAAACTACCACAGCAGAGTCTAGAACCATGCCCCAAACATGACCATGAAAGATGTCATAATGAAGAAGAAATTAAGGAGGTTTACAAATAATTTACTTGTTCTATTTCAGCTGTCACTGTATTCATACAACTTCTACTGTGTTCAGTTGAAACTGAAGAAGGTTTTGTTATAAGGGTGCTGAATGTTTATGGCAGCTATCAGAATATACTTTTTCCACACTTTTGAGGGTTTGAGCATACTTCCCTGCACTGGCCTAAGAGAAACACAGTCTTCTCAGAGCATCAAGGTTTTGTCAGACAGAATTATTGGTAGTAGTGTAATGAGAGCATGGCAACCAGGGCAGCTGCTCCAGATGCTGACTTAGGGTAAGGGGCATACAAATATCAGCACCACCACCCTAGCTATATGATTATGCTGGAAGCACCACAGCAGCCAAGAGTCACTCCTGCCCCCCGCATCCAACAGCTTCAGGTACTATGGCTGCTTTATTATGCCTCTGTTATTGGAGACTCTTTAAGTGGGCATGGAAAGTAGCTGCTCCTGTTTTAAAATCTGTAAACACAATCAATCTAGGTAGCCTTTTCATACACACCTATATGCATGTCTGGGTATACTATTTAAGCACAGACCATGATAGGTGCTGCACAAATCTTCACTATTCAAACTGGGAGCAGAAGAACCCATTGTCTACCATTCTGCCTGTCCTTTAGTGGTTTGTCTTGGTTGGGATTTAAAGGTTGCTTTCCAATTTACACGTTCTAACCAAAATCTTTATTATAGACAAAGCAATGTACACTGCTGCATGTGCTGAAGAACTTCACCAAATACAAAGGAAACAAAACATTTCCTTGAACATGTGCACAACCATTAGTGCTTTGTTGCATTTGTACTTTAAACCATTCTCAGATTAATTCTCTGACGTTTTTTTCTTCATTGACAGTTAAAGTACAAGGACTGTGAGAAAGTTGTCAGAAAATACAACATAAATGGACAAAGATTTTTGGTAAGTAAGACTATACAGTATCATGAGAAAAATGTCACATGGTTTTTCTTGGGATTTGTATTGGGAGTGCTTTTCGTTGGGAGGCTCTTTGCATCAGGTCTTGTCCATGTCCCATGAGGATGGGCCCCAGAAGTAACTCCTCACATGGCCATATATCTACTATGCTCAGCTGCTTTCTGGCAGCGAAACTGCTGATTAAAATCCACCAAAGTTTCTTCTTTGAAAACAGAACATTGAGTATCAGGAACCCCGATAATAGTGCTTAGCTTACAAATGTGTTGAAACTAAAACTGAAGGTGCACAGCTTCAATATTTTCCTTTCCAGAACATAAGTGTTTTTCATATATTGGCAATAATAATCTGCAGTTTATCAGATTTCCAATAGCTACCATTATACAGAATAGGTGGCAGTGGACTGCACAAGTTAGCATTCTGTTGTAGACATATATGCCAAGGGCTTCTACTTATGTCATGATGGTTAAAAAAATGTATTGTTTTCCCAAAACAGTATGCATGCTCAATGCTTTGTTAAAATCATAAAAACTAACAGATATGATCCAAATCAGTATGGCTGAATAGGGATTAATGATTTTTACCTCCTAAGGGCCTAGCTTAATTTTTTTTTTTAAATGGCAAACCATTTTTCTCATTTGTACACCTATCATTGCCTAGTCTGAATTCCAATTCACTTGCTGATATGTAGCTTAACATTTTTATTTTAATGAAAACTCTCTATGGTGCAGATTAGAAACCAAAGTACCCTTGAACCCCTGTCTCCCTGGAAAGGGAAAAAAAAGACAGCAGAATTTCCAAGCCAAAACTGATTCTACTCTTCTGTAAATGCCCACATAAAAAAGACAGTAATATAGAAAGGAAGCTAGTCTGCCTATTGATCAAACAACCTACAGAATCTAAACCCCCATTACTTTTGAATATCTGTTACTACCATAAACATAGGGATTATTTAATTAGGAAATCTACAGTCTCTAGAAATGGTAGTATCCTTTGTGGGGATATTCTTATTTGAGAGAGAGAGAAACACAATAGAGATTTGACAGCAGGATCTAACTGTCATTGACAATCTTCTAGAGAAAAGTTTATACTTGAGATATCATACATTTCTAAACAACTCATTGGCAGCCTGTACTTCAGGGGCAGGCAATTATGTTGGCTGGAGGGCCACATAATGAGTTCTGGTGAGCTGTTGAGCCCCACCCTTGGCAGTTGCCCTGTCTCCCGGTTGCCACCTTGGGACCAAAAGTCCCACCCCTAACCCCTGACCTTTGTCATCAGAAGTCCCTCCCCTTGCTCCCCAGAAGTACTCCTTTTGGGAGGGGAGGGTTGCTATCTTGGAACCAGGAATAAACCAAATCATGCACTAAAAGTCCAACACCTACTATAACGTATTTTTAATTTTATTACAAAAAATATTTGCCATAATTTGTATTTGTATAGTGGATATACAGATGATTGCATAATAGTTCAAAAAATAGTCTTACTTTTCTATATTGTGTGTGAGAGGTGTGGAGGTTGTGGGGTGTATGGTGGTGTGTAGGGGGTTGTGAGGGGGTGTGAGGGGAAAATAGTGTATGTTGGGGGGTGTATATGTGGGAGGGTTGTGGGGGCAGGGTGTGGGTGTGTGAGCTTTGTGGGATGTGAGGGAGGGTGGGGGGCTGTGGGGACCCCCCTCAGCCCCTCCATGGCACACAGCCCCCACTGCCAGCAGCAGCAGGTGTGGACACTCAAGGCTCCAGCCAGCACTGCACATGGGGGTGAGGAGGGCAGCCCAGCTGGCCACCTCTATCACAGGGGTTTCCTGCATGCATGTGCAGCTCCCCGCTGTGCAGGTCCCAGGACTGCAGGGAAGCAGGGGTTGGGGCTTCCCTCCACTTCTACCAGAGCCCCAGGACCTCCACAGTGGTGGGAGGGGGGGGGTGAGGAAAGGCAGCCAGCTCCTGTGTGGAGCTTCCCTTGGAGCTTCCCATGAGTGCAGAAGCTGAGCATGCATGTGGGGAACCCCCACAATAGAAGCAGCCCTGCCAGGCTGCACTTCTCGCCAAAATGTGCAGCACTGGTCAAAGCTGTGCACTGCTGGGCGCCATCACCTGCACGGGGCATGAGCACCCTGAGCACCCATTGCCTGCTGCTGGGAGTGGGGGGTGCGTGCCATGGAGGGAGTGTGTGGGGGGTCCCTACACCTCCCTCACACTTACACCCTGCTGAGCTGAGCTCCACACTCCTGCCAGACCCCTGGGTGGAACCCCTGGCTAGTCTGCACCTGTCCCTGCACCATTCACATATCTGGAGGGCACATCCCCACCCCCATGTCTCCCCTGGGAATGTGCACAGTGGTGGGGAGCCAGCCCTTCCCACCCCTTGGAGGAGACACCCATGACCCAATCCTGCTCCCCACATGAGCCCTGCAGCCACACATGGCCTGGGCCCCAAGTCCATGCATACAGCCCTATCCCTAGTCCTGCCCTGCTCTGCCCAACTCCCTCCCTCTTTCACGATGGGGGCCTCAATCTCCCCCCCCCCCCCCC